GGTCCTATAGGATTTTTATAAGTCAGAAGCCCTGACAGTGCCCCGCTCTACCCCAAAAGGCTGGCAGTTCAAGCTCAGCAGCTACTCTGTAGGAGAAATGTGGTGGTCAGCTTTGGTGAAGATGACCACCTTGGAAACCCTATGACCAGTTCTGCTCGCCCCATATCGTCACTGTGAGTCAGATGGACTCAACAGCCTAGGGTTTGGGTTCCAGGAAGTTACCAGGTGCTGGACATGCTACAGTGGACACTTCAAATCCCACGCTGTCTCCAACAGCACAGTCCCTCTCCCCTTGGTCTCCTCATACCAGGAAGGCTATGTTAGGGGCCAGTGCCTCTTCTGCTTTCCCACAGGCGTGACATCGGCTCCTCATCCCCCAGAGAGGACAACTTGACAGCAATGTCTCACAGTGACCATGACGCTTCCCTGAGGGCCCCAATGGAACACTGGAGTAGGAACAGAGTGACGTTGTTGTTGTTGTTGTTAGGTGCCATTGAGTCGGCACCGACTCATAGCGACCTTATGCACAGAAGAATGAAACACTGCCCGATCGTGGGCCAACCTCACTATTGTTGCCACACTTGAGTCCATCGATGGGCAGGGAATATTTACTGCAGCGCTTTTATTTTTATCATGTCAAAAAAAAAACAAAAAAAAAACCCCAGTAAAGACAACTTCAGTTTCTAAATAGTAGGAATCTAATAGCGTAGTGGTTACGAATCGGGCTGCGAACCTTAAGGCCAGCAGTTCGAAACTACCAGCCGCTCCGCGGGAGAAAGATGAGGCATTCTGCTCCCGTAAAGATTTAAAGCCTCGGAAACCCTGTACAGGGTCGCTATGGGTCGGATCCGACTCGACGGCACTTAACAACAACAATGAGTTCATTGGAGTCCTGGTGTGGCGCTGTGAGTTAATGTGCCAGAATGCAAAGCCATTTGAACTGCAAGGTCAGCGGTTCAAGCTCACCAGCTGCTTCTCAGAAACCCTACACAGGGTCGCTATGGATCAGAGCCAGACTCGCTGGCACTTAACAAAACAACAACAATGAGTTCACTAATGTTAATTCTGGGAGCCCCATACAATGGAACACCCTGTAAAGACTGAAAAAAACATCACAGAGAAGCACTAAAATAAAGGCCAGATCACCAAAGTGGAAAGGCAAAGGCAGAGCAGTGTGTGGAATCCATGTTACCTGTTGTACAGAAAGTGGGTGGGGTAGGCAGAAAACATACCAAACTGCTGAAATATGCAGAAATCCTATTAGAAGGATTCCTGAGTAACTGGGACCTTTGTAGTTGGGGCCAGAGGTGAGGAGACAGTTAAGAGGCTGTAATCCCCCAAAATGAGATCTGATAGAATGGCATCACTATTGAGCAGCCAATCAACTTAAAGGAAGTTTCCTAGGGGGTGTGGCCTGCAACACCTTTTATCTCACAAGATAGAAGAAAGGAGAGCCAGCACAAAGGCGGATCGGGTGGACGTGTAACAGAGAGCTCTGCTAACAACACAGAATACCTGACCAAGCAGGCTCAGGGCATGGTCCCAGAACTCGGAACCACATATAAAGGAATATTTAGAAGGCTGGAAGACTTACAGCTGGGGGAATTTGTGGCAGAAACAAGAAATCTATTGCTTTCTAATTTGGGACGCTCGGCTGCTCCAGGAGCCGCCATCTTGGGTGAGACCAAGTGGAGGAAGGATCGGAGTGGCCACAGACGCCTGGCAGAACCGCTGTGATAAAGGTGTGGACATTCTTTTCCTTTGGTATCTGTTCTTTGGTCCCTTGCTGTCTGCGCACCTCCATTCTTGTGACTATAGGGGACCCTGAGCTAGTGGGCACCCCAGCGCCACTCTCGGAGGATTCTACTACACATGCCCATAGAGCTCCTCGAAATTTAAAGAGACAGTTTCCAATTAAAACCAAACGGCCACAGCCGGCCCTGAACTGTTTCCAAGTAGAAAAAAGGCCTGAACAGGGATTGTGGAGCGGGACAAGCAGACAAAAGAGGAAATAAGCCAAAAATTAAATCCTAAATTACGTCAAATTGGCCAGCAGTGGTATCTTGAAACTTCTCAGGAAGAAGAGTGAAAAGGGGAGCCCATTTCCTGATCACATCTACCTGGAGGCATTCAGAAAGCATAAAAAAACACCAAAATACATAAGTATTAAGGACACAGATAACCCCAGGAGACGCCAAAAAACAGAAGCAGACGACCATATCTGCACATGTCCAGAAACGAGATAAAGTGACTGAGGCAAATGAGCTGGAAGTAGACCTACACTCCATACTGGAAGATGGGCAGGCTTTGGAAATGCCTGAGAAGGAATTCCTAAAAATGATTATAAAAGGTGTCAAAACACTATGCAATGGAGTTGAGAAAAATAAGGAAGAAGTCAGGAAAATGCTACAGGAACAATCAAGTAAGATAGAGCATTGGAAACAATTCAAAACCTACAGAAAGAGGTCCAAACGATTAATAATAGAATATCAGAAACGGACAATACATTGAAAGGGAAAAGGAATAGAACTGAAGAGATAGAAGCTAGAACTAGTGAGCTAGAAAAGAAAGGAGAGAGAGCAGAGACTGAGGGACCTACTAAAAACTAGGAATGGTGTGTGTCCTTTGGAGCTGGAGTCCCTGCACTGGAGCTCCTAGAGCCAAAGGAAGTGTGATCCCAAGACACATCTCCAAGGAATGCTGGGCCTCTCTCTAGATACTGAAAGGAGACAAGGATCTTTTACCAGAGTTAACAACGAGATAGCCTTCCCCTAGACCGATACTCTGAAATTCAACTTCTAGTCTCCTAATGTAGGATAAGCACTAGTTGGTTTGAACCACAAGGTCAGTGGTTCAAAACTCACTAGCTGCTCCTCTGTAACCCTGTGCAGGGTTGCTATGAGCTGAAACCAATTGACAGCAATTAACAATAACAATGTGAATAAATTTGTTTGCTAAATGCATTCACTTGTGGTATTCTGTTATAGCAATAGAGAACTAAGACAGGTGGTGAAAATTGATACAAAATTGTCACCACTTTCACTGTGTCTCTTTTGTATTTAAAATGTTATGTTCTGGCCTGGGCAAATGCTACCAATTGAAAAATACATGAAACAGACACATGCACGTTCAGATAAGCACAGGACCGCAAGGTCACCAGCTGGTCCTCAGAAACCCTATACTGGGTCGCTTGAGTCGGACCGACTTGATGGCACTTAACATTTGTCGTCTTGGCCCTCCTTTGGCTTGTGGTCTGCCTTTGTAGGAAGTAAACATTTTATCAGCAGCCCTTGCGTTTCACCTGCCTTCCACTTGGTCACATTTCACCCTGAAACCCCAACTTCCCGTTTCAGACCCTGAATCTGCTCTTTCAGGATGGGGGGCGGGGTAATGGAGTGACCTGCCCACTACTGCTCTGTGGACCCAGGCCAGTCCCCAGGGCACCTGTGTGGGCGCTGCTGAGTTGGGGGTCCTGTCCTGGCATTCCTCAGTTTAATCGTCAATCGCCTCCTGGAAACCTGGGGGTTTGGAATTCACTTTGTGCCCCCATCACCTACCGTTTGGTCCATCAGATGCCCTAAAGTTGGGCACAAACCACCCTCCTTTGAGCCTATGAAGAACCTGCATGTGAATGACCTGGGCACAGGAGATGTGGCCCCTCTCCTGGGCTGGTTCCCCATTTCAGGCCTCCCCGACTTCTTGAGTCCCATCAGTTCGGTCTTTGCTGAAGGGTGGCCAAGGAATAACATGACAAGCATGGTGCCGCCAAGTCTCTTCATGTAAACTGCTACTGCATAGCCATGCATTTAGCAGCTCTTTCCTGAGAGCCCACCGGGCTGGAGAAATCATTCCGATGCTGATGTTGGCAATTACTGCCATCGAGTGAGTTCTAACTCAGAGGGACCATTTAGGTAGGACAGAGCCGAACTGCCCCATAGGGTTTTCCAAGCCTGCAAATCTCTACAGAATGGACTCAGGTGTCTGCCAAGGAGTGGCTGGTGAGTTCCAATCGCTGACCACTGACCCACTGGCCTCCAGGGCTCCTGGACCTCTGCTCTCAGGAGAGCAGCCGACAAGCCAGGACTTGGCCACACCCACAGCCCTGCTCCTGCCGTTGCCTCTATCCTTGGCCACCCCTGCCCAATGGTCTGTTCAATCCTGGGGTGAAGGGCACCCGCTCATGGAGGTTTGGAGCCCTCTGTGAGGGAACCATGGGACAATGACAGTGTAAAACCATGGTCAGCCATAGGTAGACATGCCCTGAGGCAGGCTTGGGAGTAGGCTAGGGTCACCTCAGCAGGTGCTGGCCTGTACCTTGGCAGTGACCCGAGGCCTGTTAAATGGGCACAGACTGCTTTCCTAGTCAAACCTGATGACGTGCCCCTGCTCAGCTGTCCCTCACCACTTGATACTGAAGCGCTGCACCCACAGACACATGTAGGGTCATGCAGATGGAGGAAGATGAGGCGTGGGCTCAACCCCTACCTCCCCACAGGAACCAAACTCACTAACTCGGAGTCAGTTCTGACTCATAATGACCCTATGTCGTTTCCGAGACTAAATCATTATAGGGACAGACAGTCTCATCATTCTCCCAAGGAGTGGCTGGTGGGTTCAGACTGCCAACCTTGTGGCTAGCAGCACAATTCCTAACCCGCAGAGCCACTAGGGCTCCCACACAGATGACTGTAGTAAAATCAAACCACCTTTAATACTAATATAGTTCTCTCTCTTAAATACCACATTTCTCTGGACAGTACAGAGTGGAGACAGGGAATGTAGAACAAACTGGAATGGGTCATCCCGGGACCCTGGGGACTGGGCTGCCTCGGGAGTGGGGTGGGCTAGTGACAGCAGCTTTGTCTGGTCCAGTTATTGCAGAGGAGTAGAGAGGTTTCCCCCTCCCCAGCCCCAAAGTCCTTCTCAGGATTCGTCTGCCCTTGTGCCCCATCGGGAAGGGGCCCGCTGCCATTGGGCTGGCAGCTGAGACCGGGGCTCCTTCAGTAGCTGCTTTGATGGCCTGTGAGAATGTAGAGGTTGCTGTGAGCAGCTGGGTTGTCGGTGGGGATGCTCTGGAGGATGATGTCTCTGGAGGGAGAGAGGACCCGAGGTGAGTGGGTGGGAGACCCCTTAGCTGTGACCATCCCCCTGGCCTCAGGGAATCCTGCAGGGGAGGCTGGACCACCACATCCTACCTGTGGGCTCCAAGCACTCGGAATATCCTCGTCTCGTCTGTGATCTCCTGGGTCACCTGGCAAGAAAAGGGCCACTGAGGCCACCCTGGTGGGCCCTCTCCCAGGAGCTGGGTACAGCCATGTCCCTCGCCCTAGTAACCTCGTTGGTGTCCAGGCTGCGACCTTGCATCCCGTGGCTCCAGAAGGCCAGCACGCTGTCCTGCAGACACACTGGAGGGGCCAGGCCACTGTCATGCTCCATTCTGCCCTGGGGGTGCTTCCCTCTGCACACCTTGGGCCCAAGGCTGAACCAGAGGCCCAAACTGCCCATGGGTAACCAGGAGCCTCTTGGGAGAGTCGGGGGACCTGTCTCCTGGTCCAGCCCCAGGCTCCAGCACCATGTGCCACCAGCTGGGAGCGCTCGCCCCCCCCACCTCTGGCTCACTCACCCACAGTCTCGATGGGGAAGTCAAAGGTCAGCTCAGGTGCCAGTGTGGCTGTGGACTCACCCTGCAGGTTAACAATCCTCACGCAGCCTGTGAAGGGAGAGGGTTGGAGGCTGGGATGGGCGGGGCTCCCTTCTGGGGCAGTGACCCCCATGGCTTCCCATCCCCACCCCCACGATCCTTTGGTCCCAGACCTGACCACTCACGTTCAAAGCTGACCAAGACTGTATCCCTGTCCACCTGGATGACCTGCTGAGCAGAGCCTGGGATTCCCTCTGTGGTAGAGAAGAGGAACAGGGCCTGACTTATGGGCCCCAGCCTCTGGGCCTCAGGAGGGCAGAGGGCCATGCTGCAGTCAGCCTTACAGCCGCCCTGCCAGGGGACCAGGTCCTCAGGCCCAGGTAGTGGCTAAGGAAACTGAGGTCAGAGTGGATTGACCTGTCCTCGGACCCACAAGGGACAGAGGGGAAGTCAGGGCGGCCAAGATGAGCCCTCAGTCCACATCAGTAGCACAGGGGAAATACTGCCCACCTGCAGGGCCTCTTGTGAAGCCTGTGTGACCCCAGCCCTTCCCCTTGGACCCACCATGCTGGCTGTGCCCCCAACTTTCCCAGCACTCAGGATCCTACTTCCTTGCCCAGACTGGAGTCCTTTGTTCCTGCTTTAGCCCTGCAGACTTGACCCAGATCAGCTGTTCAACTCATTCTTAGCTGCCAAGCCCAGTCGAAGCTGGCTGAGGTGGGACCCACTGTCTCCCTGGAGCCCTAGGTTGTGGGGGACACAGCCTGGGCACCTGCACATGCACACATACAGACACAGCAGCAGCCCAGCCGCTTGCTCACCGGGCGGGATGAGGATGTCAGGAGTCAGGCCGGTTTCTAGGGGCAGGATGTGGAACAGGACACGGCAGCCGGGCCCCTCAGGCCCCTCAGCCCCCACACACACCTGTGGCAGCTCCTTCCCGTCCAGCACCAGAGGTTCCAACATCCCTGCAGGGCTGGGCAAGGGGCTGGAGAAGCTCTGGGGGACAGCAGGGTATTCAGGTCTCTCCCCGCCCCCCCGCCCCCTGTCCTATGTCCCCTCCCACACCCCCCCTCTGGTCCTGCACCTTCAACAACAGGAATTTCTGCAGCGGCTGGTACCACTGTAGCAGGAGAAGGCTGGAGGGCAAAGCGGCTAGCAGAAAGGTGCTGCCCGTGTAGGGGTTCCGCACTGCAAGGGAAGAGGGCAGTGGGCACCCACCTGGTCTGCACCCAGCCACTTCCCGGCCCCGCCTAGCCCGGCTCTTACCCACTCGACACTGTAGACAGCCTTTGGTGTCAGGGATCTTGGTGGACAAAGCAAAGCGCCTGCAGGGGAACAACCTTCTGTGACCAAGGCCCTGCAGAGCCCCCAAAGTGGGTACTATCATCCCTGCCTTCCGGGTAAGAGACTAAGGCCCAGAGAGACCAAGGGACTGGCCCAGGGCACAGAGCTGAAGGGCACGGGATCTCAGGACGTCCCATGGAGTCTGGATCACAGAATGCCTCAGTTTCCTCCTCTGTAAAATGCGGTAGCGGTAGTGCCATCTGATAGGAGTTGGTGTGAGAACTGAAGCAGGGCAGGACCTCAGAGCTTGTACCATCCCTGACCAGATCTTTCTATTTCAAGTCTCTGGAAACCCAAAAAGAACTCAAAATCACTGCCATCAAGCCAAGTCTGACTCACAGCGACCCTGTATGAGGTTTCGGAGGCTGTAAATCTTTATGGGAACAGAAAGCTTCATGCTTCTCCCATAGGTCGACTGGTGGGTTTGAACTCCTAACCTTGTCATTATAGTCCAATGCTTATCCTACAGCACCACCAAAGTTCCTATTGAACAATTTGGGTTCTCCAACCCCCACGTTCTGATTTCCCAAAGGCATACCTAAAGCCACCTGAGGCCTGTCGGGGGCTCTGAAGGATCATTTCCTGTAGGTCTCAGGCCAAAGCAGGGTTTGCTAGGGGACTGAGTTCAGGAAGTCCTCAACTTCAGGGCTGGGGCTACAGCTCCGGAGAGGGCACAGCCCAGGCCCCAGGAAGGGCAGATCCCTGTGTCCCCAAGCGGAGCAGCTGCTGGCCTAGCTTCCTGACCCTTCCAGCCTGCTCCAATGACTTCTACCACCATCCACCCAGCCCTGACAACCCAGGCCCTCTCTCCTTGGAACCCTACCTCCACCCAGCCAGCAGCTGAGAGGCAGTTCCTCTCGCAAGTCCAAAACACACTGACCTATGGTCAACGTGACACCGAATTCTCACACACACACACACACACACACACACATATCCCCAAAACCTGCTCCACCCAAAGCTGATGACAGCTTCATCCTCCCTACATCCCAGGTCAAAAACCAGGGAGCCATCCCTGACTCCTTCTCGTTCATCCACCACCAATCTGTCAGGAAATCCTGTGGCTTAACTTTCAAATTAGATCCAGAATCCCACCACTTTCCACCACACAAGACCCCATCCCTCCCACCAGGATCTCCTCAGCAGCCTCCTATGAATCTCCTCACACCCACCCTTGCCCCTCAGTCTCTTCTCCAGCTATGGTGAGCCTACCAAAACCTCAGACAACTCACATTACTGCTCGGCTCAACACCCAGCCGTGGCCCCCACATCTCCCTTCACTCCTTCCGTTCCAGCCACACTGGCTCCACACTGTTCCACCTGCCCCAGGGCCTCTGTACTGGCCTGGCCCTTGGCTGGAAGTCCTCCAGGAGAGATCTGCTCACCCACCTGCTCCCAGTCTTTGCTCAGACAGTACCTTCTCAGTGTGGCCCTCCATGAGCACCCTTTCCAAGCCCAGCCCACACTGCCTTTCTCCCCACCCTGGCACCACCACTGAAGTTTCTTGTTTGGTGTGGACTGTGTGTGGTAGGCCTCCCCACATCAGAAACCACAAGCAGGTCGGGACGGGGGAGACTCTTAGGTCACCTGCTAGCCTTCTTTCCGCCCCAGAACAGGGCCTGACATGGACCAAGGGTTCAGGAGATACATACCAGGGGGCTTCCAAAACTGTGTGGAAAAACGGAATGAAAAGATAATGGAATTTCCCCACAAACTTTTGGAAACCCTCTCATATTTGTTGAATATCTGAGTAAGTGACCCCCACCCAGCACCTTATAAAACCTACCAGCTGATCTAGTCCTCTGAAGGGCCCCAAATTGCTCCCTCCTTCGCTCTCACTCCAATCAGGCCTCAAATTCTACTTCCTAAATCCTGCTCCAAACTGGGGTCTCCCCATGTTGTTGTTGTTGTTAGGTGCCATCGAGTCGGTGCCAACTCTAGATGGCCTCAGAAGTGTGGCTTGCTGCCGTCAACCTGGCCTGAGCCATGGTGACCCCATGCACAACAGGACAATCCCCAGGATCAGTTGCAAGTGATACATTGTGAGTCATGGAGTTTTCAGTGGCTGGTTTTAGGAAGTAGATTCCTAGACCATCTGCATCTGGAGGCTCTGTAGAAAGCTGTTCAGCATCATAGCAACACATAAGTCTCCACTGAGATACAGTGGCGGGGAACTGAACCAGGACCCCCACATGGATGTGAGCATGCCACCCTTTAACCATCACTATCTCAACAGCCACAGTATCCGCTCTGAACTCTCGTTTATGGGCCCACCTTGTCGTCTTTCTTGAAGGCAAGGGTGTTTTGATTCATTATAGCCCTGAGTTCAGTAGGAGGCCTGGCATATAGGTGCTCTGGAAATATTTGCTCAACTGTCAAATTGACCTCAGCCCTGATGGCACTGTGGGTTAGACATAGGACTGCTAGCCTCAAAGTCGGCGGTTCAAAGCCACCAGCCGCTCCTTGGGAGAAAGATGAGGCTGTCGGCTCCCATAAAGATTTAGTCTCGGAAACCCTAGATAGGGTGGTTATGAGTTACAATTGACAAGATGGCAGTGGGTACAGCTTGCAGTTTTCCATCACTCTACATTCTACCCAGCATTTTCACAGCCGTGCCTCCCAACAAGCCTGGGGAACGGAGGAAGGAAGCTATCAGCTGCTCTGACAGACGAGGCTCAGACAGGCAAAGTCACCTGTCCAAGATCAAAACCATCCCAGGCACAGGCCCTGGCCCTCTGCCTCCCCACTGCCCCAGGCTCTGACCTGGGAATGATGCGCTGGGTGAGGCGGTTGGTGGGGATGGAGAGGGGGACCTGCTGTTGTAACTGCCGCTGCTCAAACAGGCCCGGGAGGTCGTGGGCCCAGATGTACGTGGATTTCCCTGCAGGGAATCAGAAAGGGCTGGTGGGCAGGGGCTTGGGGAGCAGGCGGAGGCAGGCCCACCTCTCCCACCTGGCCTGCACCTGACAGTGAGAGCAGCACATTGTTCATGCAGTATAGCCAGGAGCACCGCTGCGAGGTCAGCTGGAGGGACAGAAGTCGGGGAAGAGCCGTCAGTGCCTGGGGCCCCTGGCCACCTGGTCTCCGTGACTGCCCGCCTGCCGCCTCACCTTCTCCAGGGTGTCCTCATGCAATTCGTGCAGGTTGAGGGTGTAGATACCTTCTTCAGCCCCCACCACCAGAAACTGGTCTGCAGGTTTGGGTAGGGGTCAGAGGTCAGTCATTCCCTGGCTCGTACTTCTTCCCTGGCTCCCCTGAGCTACCCTGAAGCTGGCCTACCTCGGGTGACAGGGTGAATCCAGGTGACAGCAGTGTGGATTCGCAAGGGACAGCCATTGAAGACCTTGGAGAAGCAGGCGCCCATCTAGGGGGAGGCCAAAGCTGCGAAGGGATGTGGGGCTGAGGGCTAGGGCTGTGGGCTGTGGGGTAAATACTTACGTGCACCTTGGGGGTCGGGGGGAGCCCATGGCAGGATGATGTCTGGAAGGGAGGGAGAGAGGGAGTCAGAGCTGAGCCCCCACCCCCCCTACCTCCCAGCACCCATAACATTCTCACCTCAAGATCTGCCCGGTGTTTCATGGTGGCCCAGGTAGTGGGAAGCAGTGGGGAGCTGTCAGGGCCTGGGAGAGGGGAGGATGAGGTTCCTGCAGACACAGACCCTCTGTGATGTTCAGCTCTAGCCCACCCTGGACCTGCCTCCCAGCATCCCAAGCCTGGGTCTCACCTGGAGAGCTGGAGAGAGGGGACTCGGCTGGAGGCTCAGGGCGGGGTGCCCCCAAGAAGGGGGCACGCTTGATGGTTCCCATGGCTTCATCTGGGGAGCCCAGAGCCTGGCACAAGGGTCAGGGGCCAGTCTGGCTGTTAGCTGGAGGACCCCAACAGCACCCCCATCACACCCAGCTAAGCCTCTCCACCCCCTAGCCCCACCTGGACTTCCAAAGCTGATCTGATGGTCAGGCTCCTGTGTGGGACAAAGCAGAGAGAAATGAGGCAGGAAGTGTGATAAGGCCCGGGCTTGACCACCCCTGCCCCCACCGGGACCCTCACCTCTCCTCCAGGGCCTCCTGGACCGACTGCAGCAAGCTCCTGGGGAAGGAGGTGTCAGAGGTCAGCCTTCTCTGCTGCCCCAGCGCCCTCACCCCCAATGTCTCCCTCCTTCACTCACCCACTTAGCTCCTCCTTCTCCAGCAGTGTCCACGCCTCCTCCCACTGTGGAGAAACCAAGGCAGAGAGACAGAAAGGCAGTGTGAGAGAGTGATCAGGAGATTGTGGGAGACAGACAGAAAGATGAAAAGGGAGACAACAGCCACAGGAGAGTGAGTGTAAAGTCAGTGAGAGACAAAGACAGAGAGACAGTGGATGAGAGGGACAGGGAGAGGCAGAGACAGCAAAAGACCAAGGGATAGACAGAGACAATGCTTGTGGGAACAAAGAGATACTGTGAGACCGACAGTGCGTCAAAGACACAGAGACAAAGCAGAGAAAATGGGCTGAAGGGGGGTGCTCAGGGGTGCAAGAGGTCCCTCTGTCCCCTCCCAGTCCAGGAAAGTGCCCCAATATCCAGGATATGGGTGTGACAGGCCAGCTTGGGACAGCTCCCTTAATCTGAGACTCCACCTCCATCCAAGCCCCACATCCCACCCCACCCCCAACACAACACCGTCTTTCCCACCCAGCCCCTCACCGGCTCATTTAGAGGGTCTGTTTCCTTCCTGCGAGGGGCGCCAAATTTCACCTGGTGAACTGGAGGGCCCAGGGTATAGGAGTCAGGGGGCTAGGGTCTCAGGATTGGCTCCCTCTACCAAAGTCATCCCCAGCCCTACTCCCCCCAGGCTCACACTGGATCTCCGAGGGGGTCCTCTCAGCTGGGCCATGCTGCCCCCGAGAGTGAATGGTATCCGGAAACATGTCATAAGTCTGAGAAAGAACAGAAATGGTGGCCACGTACCCTGTCTGCTACAGTTCCAGGATACACAGTCATCACCCAGATCATGAGACAAAATATCACCCTCACTTCACAGGTGAGAATCAGGCACAGAGAAGCCAAGACACTTGCCAAAAAGTGCACAGAAAGCAAGGTAATAGCTGAGCTGGTGTCACAGGCAGCCCAGCCCAAGGACAGAGGTCTGTCAAGGGGATGTCACAAGGAGACCAGCTCTGGCTAAAGAAGCTCCTAAGACTCCACTGTCTAGAGGGACAAACTGAAGGGATCTTAACCTGTATCTCCTCCTACATCAGGGCTGGGCTCCCCAGCCCCTCTCCTACCAACCAGGCCCGGCCAAGATCCGCTTCCCCAGCTCCCATCCACTTACCTCTAGTTCACAGTCCTCAGGGGACGGGGCCCCAAGGTGGGGGTCATTGGCTTTGTCCAACAATTGAGTGAGGAGGGCACGTGGGAGCTGCTGAGTTGTGAATGGGTGCTGGAGGATTGAGAGGGGCAATCAGGTCGCCCGCTGGTCTTGGGGCCCTGCTTCGGAGCATCAAGCCCCCTGGCCCAGCGCTAGCCTCCCACCTGCAGAAGTCTGTCTGCTGTTGGCCTCTTCTTGGGGTTCTTGGTCAGTGCCAGCTTGAGGAAATGGTGGAAATTCTGGGTCCTGATAAACACAAGAGCCCAGACCCAGATGAGTTCTCATGCAGGCCATCTTGCCAGCGGTCCCCAGCTATAGGACCCGCCCAGGAAGGATCCAGAATGGGGCTAAGGGCTGCGTGAGCCACAACTGCTGTTGCGACATAGCAGTCCCTCTGTCATCACCCAGCCGACATCTTCTCTGTCCCCACAGGGCTCTCACGGTGATGGTCTGTGAAGGCCCAGAAAGGGCAAGGCTCTCAGGGTGCACCCTGGGAGCTGGTAAAAGGCTCCTACTCCCCATGGGGCCTGTCTGAAAAGGGGGCCCCGAGAGGCGGCTGGGGGGCCTCACCAGCGAGTCTTGTCTCTCAGCTTGGGTGGCTGGAAGCTGCTCTTGGACATGAGCATCAGGGCCCTGTGGAGGGTGCGAGGTCAGAGGTCAAGGATCACCAGCAGGGCTGGTTCAGGCAAGGGGCTTGTGCTGAGCTGACCTCATGGGGTGCAGGTGGAATAGCGGGGGCTGCAGCTCGCCCAGCTCGATGGCAGTGATACCCAGGGCCCAGACGTCACACAACTCATTGTAGCCGCCTTTGCGTTCCACAGCGGCCACCTCCGGGGCCATCCTAGAGGCAGATCACAGATGGAATGACCCAGTACCCCCTACCTACAGCTCCTGCACCTGCCCGAGGCACAGTCTTACCAGTAGGGAGTCCCAATGAAAGACTTCCTCTTAGCCACAGATGTCGTCAGCTCTCCTGACACCCCAAAGTCGGCTGCAGATAAAAACAGCGGCTCTGACCGGCCCTCTGGACACCACTGTTCTCCAGAGTGCAGGATCAGGATGCACCTGGCGGGGACTCAAGATGGCAGATTGCCCAGGTGCAAGCACAGCCCCAAGTCAAGGCCATTTCTCCCCTGGGAGGGGTCAACCACCCCACAGCCTGACTGAGCACCTGGTCCCGAACCCAATTCTGTACAGACCCAACGTCATCTGCCTTATAGCAAGAAGAAAAAGGGGGGGGGGGGCAGGTTGGGAGAAACTAAAGCGCAAAGTAGTAGAGCGGCTTGCCCAAGGTCACTCAGGATTTGAACTGGGGTTCTAAGATTTCAGGAGTGCCCACAGAACCCTCACCCTGGTTTTGTCCCCAGGGTACTGACCCAACTTGACATCTCCCTGGAGGGTGAGCAGAAGGTTGGCTCCCTGTGGGAATGGAGAATCAAGAGAATCCTGTCTGGGGCCCAGAAAGCAGCCAGCCTCCTTCTCCTTCCCATAGTGCCCTTGGCCAGATCCCTACCTTAATGTCTCTGTGGATCTTGCCCTGAGAATGCAGGTGGTGCAACCCCTGGGAACAAAGAGGAGTCCCTGAGCGTAGCCCTAGCCTGCACCATCCCACCTGTCCCGAACCTTCTGTTAAGGCTGAGGCCCCCCACCCTAGCCGCTTCCTCCTCCCCTCTCCCCAAACAGGAAGTGACTGAGCCAAGAGGGAAATGGGCTGCTTCCTGCAACAAGGCTGGGGCCCTTGTCCCCCAGGACCCAAAGCCCCTCTCAGGTCAGCCCTAGCCAGTGGATCCCCACCCCTCCAATGGCCCCAGCTGGACTCCCTGTTCACAGTTTCTGGGGGCTGGGAGGTGGGGAGACCCTGTGGGCTTAGCTACCTTTAGAGCCTCTCGGCAGACATAGGCAATCTGTCGTTCCTCCAGGGGCCCAGTGGCTGAAATGGAAGGGGTGAGGGTTGGCCAAGAGGCTAGGGGACTGACGGACCTTCCCTGGCCACTCTGTGTAAGGGACAGCAATCGGTGCTAGTTCAAAGAGTGCTGGTGGCATTTCTTCCCTGACAGCCTGGGATACAGAGCCCAGAGAAGGCCAGTGTTTCTTTCAAGGTCACACAGCTAGTCAAGAGGGGCAAGAAGCTTCCAAGTTCCTAGCTCTCCCCTGTGGGCTGGGCTCTCTTCTGCTACCCCATGCTGGTGGGTGAATATGCGGAGCTGGGGCTCACCATGGTAAATCTCCTGCAAGGACCCTCCTCCACAGAACTCCATGCAGATCCACAAGCGGTCATTTCTGGGGGGACACAGAGCTGGGGTGGGCACATGGCAGAGCCACACCGGGGCTGCTGTCTGGGGGACATGAGGAGAGAGCAGCCTCACCTGAGGTAGCTGCCAATATAGGCCACCACATTGGGGTGTCGGCACTCACGCAGAATGGTGATTTCCTGCTGGAGGGAGCTGATGTCGTCCCCTGGGGAATACAAGGCATCATCGGATGGGGCAGTATTGAAGTGGCCCTGACTCAGTGCCTACATCTGCAAAATGGGCAGAGTACCTCCTACAGGCCAGACAGGTGCCAGGTAACAGCAACGAATGTTAACTCTTGCCCCCTCCCCCGCAAAGGCCTTGGCCCTAGCCCTCACCTGGGTCTAGCTTGACTATCTTCACAGCGGCTAGTTCGGACGTGGCCGTGTCGCGGGCCTGCAGGGGTGGAGGGGGCGCAACACAGTGGGGGGGGCG